TGGTTATGGTTATGGTTTTGGCCGACCCGACCCCGAACCCAACCGTTGTCATCCCTACTTATAAGTGACAGATTATAAATTTCTTAAAACATTTAAAAATAAGAAATTACTTAACTCCTTTTTAAGAATAGTCGGAGAATATCTTGACTAGTAAATCATGAAACTCGTACTATCAATACATTCTCATGAGTGCTAGTCAACTACTATTATTGATTTAGTCTATTCTAGTGTACTCTTTGTGATGTCAATCGAGCCGAGTGGGTTGTCGGCTCGGCCACTTGGCTCGTACTGTTCATGCCCACGAGCCGCTTGGGCTCGTCTTTTAGCTCGAGCATAACGGACCGGTTCGTACACGAGCCGAGCTCGGCTCGGCTATTTAAGAGGCGAGCGCTCGGGGGAACGAGCCCACGAGCTCGTGAAAAAACATTTAAAAAATAAAAAAAACTAAGAAAAAAAAAAAAATTTGATGAGCCACGAGCCGAGCTGAGCCAACTCGTGTGCTCGCAAGTTTGTGGGCCGAGCCGAGCTCGACCATGAGCAAACAAGCCATGAGCTGCTCGGCTCGTGAGCTCGTGGCTCATTTCTCCACGAGCCCGAGCCACGAGCTCACGAGCCGAGCCGAGCTCGTGGCTTAAAGGGCCGAACCGGCTCGGCTCGACCCATTGACAACACTATGTACTCTCGTAAGAAGTCCTCCCTATGCTTGATTCCTTTTGAATTAATGCCAAAGACCCAATTTCCTTAAGTCGGGACATCTTCCGACCTAAGTGGGATTGTACCGTAGGACCTATAGTCTCTAGAGTTTTAGTTCTCAAATGGCGCGAGCCGCATGGAATGAGATCCACACGTGTGGGTCGGCATGCTTAAAAGTAGATCGTTCTCTCCTACTTACTACTTAGTGTTTGTTTCTTCATCAACTTTTTATTGGCAAAGCTTAATTCCTCGAGGTCTAATTTCAATTCTAATAAAATTTATGATAAGTAAAAAAGCATAGTCATGCATGTCGCATAACGTGATTGTATAATTAAGAAGTCTATAAGACCATGTTTGGTATAGATTAAATTTTTAGTTAATTATGATAAAAATTAATAAAATGTGTAGTTGAAAAATTGTGAATCCCATCAAATTTATAGTTAAAATTAATCGTGAATTTGACTTGTGATTTTTATCAACTTTTAATATAGGGATAATTGCAGCAGCGGTACCAAACATTTTATTAAATAGCAAACTTTGTTCAAACTTTTTATTTGTGTCATTCACGGTACCAAACCTTTCAAAATGTCGTAACTGAAGTCCAAATGGATAATTTCTGTTAGTTTGACCGTTAGTTGATCAAATAATTGACTTTGACAATAATTTTGATTGATTTTAAAAATGTTAAAATGATAATTTTACATTTTTTTATAATAAAATAACCAGAATCAAATAATTAAAATTAAAAACACATTCCACCTTCATCATCATCATCTTCCACCGCCAACGTCGACGCTGCTATCAATATGTCATTGTCCTTTGCGACCTCCAGCTTCACAGCAACCACAAATTCATTCTCAGCTGCACTTCTTTCACATTTATTTGTCAATACTTGGAAGTTCGAATCTTCAATACGTAACTTTCTTCACAACTTCAGCAGATGAATTTAGAAACTGGTGTAGAGCTACATTAAAACTAAAAGCCAGATAAAAAACAATAAATTAAAGTGTTCCAAATTCCATCATTTCCCATCAAAATATCCAAAAAAAACCACCCACCCAAAAGACCATTATTTTAACGGAAATGGTGAAATGGGTACCATACCAGGATAAATGGTGAAATGGGTACCATACCATGATGCCCGATGGGTAGGGATGGAGGGAAAACTAGATCGAGGATCGGCAGAATTAGTCGAACCAGAGGCGATCAATACAACATTGGAGAAGGCCAACGTATTAGACCTGGAAATGGCGATGGTCCCACCAGATCCAGCGGAGAGTAGCCGGAGGAAATTAACCTTGGCCTTGAGGTCCTCGATCTCACGCTTAAGCTCCTCCTTCGTCTCGTGACCTCATCGTGGCACTCCCTGCACGTGCCAGCATCACGTGCCTTGTACTCTTCCTTGCACGAAATGCATTTCATCTTTCCCCTCCTTGCAACGAATCCGTCTTCATCTTTCTCCTTGTCATCAAAATCTGTGTCGAAGTCCGATGGAAGCGTGGCCCACGGTGTTGGCAGTAGAAGCGAAGGAGAAGGTGGGGGGTGGGTGGGTGGAGGAGAAGGTGGAATAGATTTTTAATTTTAATTACTTGATTTTAGTTATTTTATTATAAAAAATATAAAATTACTATTTTAACCTTTTTAAAATCAGTTAAAATTATTGTCAAAATCAATTATTTGGTTAACTAACGGTCAAACTAACAGAAATTATCCATTTGGATTTCTGCTGCGATATTTTGAAACGTTGGTATCGTGGGTGTCACAAATGAAAGGTTTGGACAAAGTCTGCTACTTAATGAAATGTTTGGTACCGCTGCTGCAATTATCCCTTTAATATACACCAAATGGACTAAAAATGATCAGGAACTTTAATTATCAATTGCAATCTAGTAATATATTGTAATAAACCAAACCAAGCCAAATCAAATCAAATCAAACTTCATTTAATTTCCCCAAAAAAGATTCAACAAGAAAACACGTTTCATTAAACGAGAAAAAACATTCTTATACTAAAGATGGCACCCTACATAACATAAGACGTTAGAAATATTACATGCAACGAGGCATTAACGTCCCCCACGCTTACCTTGGTTTTGTGATTACATTACATTTTTACCTTTGTCCTCTTTGATCAAACATATCTTTTTTACGTTCAAAGACAAACCCTCCTAGCTCCTCACCCCACTCCACATACAGACACGAGAGTGTCGGAAAAGGGGGAAAAAAAAAAAAAAAATTAAAACTCACATGAAGCCGGAATCACTAGTAATCGCACCTCAATCGTGTGTATAGTTGGCCGCGGGTGACATTAGAGTTACAATAAGGTCTGAAAATGCACCAACAATAAACTTGTGGGTGTGTTTAGGGTTTAAGGTTAGATAACACAAGAAAAGGTCATGTAAGAAATCCCAATCATTCTTAACATCTGTTAACCCTCGTGCTTCGACCATCTCTTGCATCGATTTTCTGAAGTCGGCATATGGATTCGGAGAGTACGTCTGAACGGCAATGCCACCATTAACCACCGTGTCAGATTCCGGCCCTGGAGACCCATCCGTGGATTCAACAATGGAGTTGGAGCGGCCGGGGGAGGAGAAAAAGAAGCGTTGGGACGCGAAAACCGTAGCAAAATCAGGAACCGATTCAGTATCGGAATCATCAGAAGAAGAGAGGAAATCGTCTGTAGAGGAGGTAAGGGGCTTGGAGATTGAACCAGAGTTGGAATCATAGAGGGAGTTGAAGTTCTTGATTAATGATGAAGGGTCGATCAGATGGGCGGCTGTGTCATTCTCGTTTTCTTCTTCTTCATCTGTGGGTGGTGGGGATAGAGTGAGGGTGGGTAGACACTTGAATTTGGAGAAGCAGAGGTACAACTTCTTCTTCCCCAAAATGCTAGACATTTTTTCTACTTCTATGTTATGTGAGAGACACCGTTGGGTAAAGTGTGTATATATATATATATATATATGGTCGGGAAATCCAAACTCCCTATTAGTCTAAGCGTGAAAACACGTAAGCTTTCATGGCCTTTGTGCTAAAACAAAAAGAATTGTAATGTGTATAGAGTACTGTGATTTTGTTTGGTCTAGAGAGAGGATAAGATAAGTTTGTACGACCTTTCTAGTGGGACAAGGATTTATTTATAATTGCACAAGTATATGTACTTCATTTTAACTTTTATTGGACAGATTCATATTGAAAAATCCAAATACAAGGAATAGGTAGCAATGGATATAAAGTTCTAAGTGAGAGCTCCAACTCGGTGGAAAAACTTGGGGAAGACGAGATATGTTGAGCTCATTCACATATGAGGTCCGTTACAAGTGTTATCGAGTTAAGGTCTTAGCTCGTATTATGGAAGGTCTAGCCTTTGGGAGGTTGATTTCCATGTTAAGGCAATATAATTAGTAAGGAACTTGTGAACCTATATAAGAACTTGGCAAAGATGCTAACAAAAGGTAGTGTCACAATAATGCACTCAACTATGTAGAGATCAACAAGATCTAAGAAGATGCTCAACTTAACATAGAATGCTTCACTCCACTTGGGATTAGACTTAGTAGAAATTTAGAGATAATGAAAGTATGATCGATCATCAACCATTTTTATTGACAAGCTCACTAATCAATGTATATTTTTCACATTTTTCGAAGTTTTTAGCGTGTATATATATAACGAGAGATACTCAACAAAATCTGAAATCAATAAAGTTAACATCAATATACTCTATCAATTTAAAATCTTAAAATGTTCACATGAGTTTTTCTTGCAAAAATTATAGACTGAGGCCCCTAACCTATGGGTTATATATAGCATTCTCAAACTTCATTTCTCGATACTTGAGTCTTTCAATCTTTTAATTTTGTAGAGTTAGGTATCCAATTAACATTTTTCAATTCGCGTCGTCCTATAAATACTGAATCTCCTCATACAACAATGAAAATATTTCTGCAACCCCCTTCCACCAACTCCCACTTGCCACTCTCTACTTCTGCAACACTCGGTCACTAGCTTTCCCAATTCATCGGTTTTCTCACCATCAAACTCCTACTAGTTCCCTCCATTCGTCGTAGTTTTCTTCATTCCTCCATCCCATACAACAATTTAGGGGTGGAGAGGGAGGGGGAAAAGGGAGTTGGAGAATTTTTTCGTTAAGTTTTTTTTTAAATGAGGGTACAATCCCGTTTTCTCTTTTTCCATCTGATTGCACTTTCAGGCTTCAGTCTTTTCAAACGTACTATTCGGAATCTAGTCCAAATTCATAAAAATGTAAGTACGCACGCACGTTTAGCATATTTATTGAGACAAGAAGAAAAATTCCAATTTGAGGTACTATGCCCCAGAATCTAAGGGGTAATTACTGTATATATCATGTGCTCTTCCAAAAACATTGCTGGAAAGCACGTAGCATTCCATCTTGCATACAGGAACAATAATGAGGGCCAGTTTATGACACTTTGACAAATCAACTCTAACCTGCCTTGATGAAATGACTCCCTCAAATTTTTCGTGTCTCCGAATATGGTAATTCTACTCGTATAAATTTCAATAACTTTAGAATTAACATTGCTTAATAATATAAAATTTTAAACAATTTATTTCACTTTTAGAGAATTTGTCATGAGAATCAAACCCACAAGTAAAAATCATTAAAAAATTGAACCTTTCATAAACATTCAAAATCAATACTTTAAAACAACCCTAAAACCAGTATTCCAAAACTCTCAAGCAGGCCCTTAGTGCTTAGTACTTGTTTGGGATGGCTAAAACCCCATTTCTATTTAATTGTCCGAAAATTTTCCGAAACTCTAATAAATATTGATAGAGAATAAATTTCTAGATGACATAAAGATTAAATGAACCGAGTATCAATAACTGTAACTTGAGTTATTTGAGTACATGAACTAACTTTGAAACCAATAGATGGAACTACAACTGGACGAGGAGGCACAACATAAATTGAAGAAAATCACTCAAAAGAGCCGGCGTAACATCACGAAACTGATACTGAAACTGAAACTGAAATCAACACAAGAGTTGGCAAATTGGAGCCTAAACCAACGAGAAGGCTATCGTCGCCGCAGCGAAAAATCAGATCCACCAAAAACAAAGGCAACATGAAACAAAAAGAAAAACTGAAGGCTACAAAAGAACAAGATGATGTCCGAAACAAATTGGCCGGATGAGCGGCACAAGTCTGCTCGTCGAAAAAAGGAAGTGGTTGCAAGTCTAGATCAAGATCGAAACTCACTCTCATACCATGTTAGAAAAAAGGAGTCTTTTTATTCAATATTGAATCTGATTACAAAGAGACTGTAAATAAACAAGACTAGCATTGGAAAAGACCAAAATGGAAGTAAATTTGAAAAAGGAAAAAAGGAAATAGTGTTTAGTTGCATAACCTCAGAATTGATGGTGCATAAAAAAATTGATACATGTCTTACTGTAGTGAGAGAATAAAAATGTATTCCAGTCCCCATAATGGTTATGTTTGCCTGTCAAAAAACTGAAGGGCATGTTTAGTATGCCGAAATGGATTAATTAGCCAGAACAAGTGTAGGATACGCAAAAATCTCACGTGTTATGTTAGTCATGTTCAATTCAACTTACCAAATATGTGACCCGATTTAGAAGATATATATAAGGGAGGCGTGCTCTAGAAATAATAAGAAGAAGTTGGCATCCCAGTGACTCGAACTAATTAATCTTACACCATAAACACTTTTCGTGCAATAGTTACAGAGACAGCAAAGGTATCATATTCAGATTTTGATGAGGTTTCTTATTATTGCCAGACTGCAGATTTAGAAGAATTTTGATTTATTTTATTTTCATATGAAACTTAGAGTCGTTCGAATGTGGCTAAACCTCTGCCATGCACGGCCTTCTTTCGGGATTATGACTTAGGCAGCGCAATTGAACACGAGATTTATTTCAGTCTAAGCCCCGGAGGTTCGGCGATCACTTCTAACATCTACATCCCCCATTGAGCATCAAAAAATTGGATATTCGCTCGGTTGCAATATATGCCCAAAAATGGCAACAAAAGTTATAGATCGTTTCTTCCAATACAAGAGAGAAGTACAAGATACTTATCTTTTCAATAATAACTGCAGATCTGCAAAATTTACTCAAGAAATTTCAACTTACCTACTGGAAATCACAACTGTAAGAAATCCCTTAATCTTACAGTAATCACACAGAAAACACCGATTTCGGAGGCTAAATATAATGATCTCGGTTTTACAAGTTCGTCAAGAGAGATGAAGATCACAAAGCAAACCCTAATAGCTAGAGATTGAAAAAGGAAAACTCTCTCAGAAGAACCCAGAAGTCAGAAGATTCATTGAAGCCATGACCAAAATGAAATCGTGCGTGCATGTATATCTCTCATCAATAATGCAAAGATCAATGGTCGGGAATTACACATGTGTCATCATCTCATTAAAAACGTTCCAACTTATAAAAGTGTGATTCAGTAAAACACGAATTTGGCCAAAATTTTGGGAGCACATCACAGATCACAGGTTCGAGCCTCAACAATCTCCACCTTACTACCAGAAATTTGGGACAAAAGTGCAACCAGGAGCAAATATCAACAATTTGATCTTCGTTTGCTCCAAAAAAATCTGTTTTTACATCACAAAGTATCAATAGACAATAATTTCAAACAGTTATGAAACTTGTTTAAATGTATTATTTTAGTTCCCATGTTTGAAGGATTATATTGGGTAGAAACCTTACCAATTTTAGAATTCCTTTTGATATAATATCTCTAATAAAATGATATTTAATATCTATATGTTTGGTCCTATCATCAAACATGTGTTTTTTGCTCAAATGTATAGCGCTTTGGTTATCTGAGGACAAAATTGCATTTTCATCAACAAAACTAAGTTGACTTAGCAATCTACTTAAACAAACTCCCTCTCTAATAACATCAAAAGCAGCAATGTATTATGCTTTAGTTGAAGACAAAGCCACAACCTTTTGCAATTGAGATTTCCAACTTATTGCAGTATCGTAAAGAGTAAAGAAATAAGTTGAAGTAGACTTCATATTATCTCTATTTCCAGCAAAATTAGAATCAGTAAACCCCTTCAAAGTTATCACCCCTTTATTCATTTTAAACATAAGACCTAAATTTAATGTACCTTTGAAGTATCTTAACAATCATTTTAAAGCATTCCAATATTCTTCCTTAAGGTTATTCATGAATCTACTAAGTATGCTGATACTATGAGCAAGATCGGGTATTGTGCATACAATTAGGTAAATAACAGATCCAATCACATTTGCATATGGAATTTTAGACATTCTAACAAGTTCTTCATCAGTTGTAGGACAGAACTTAGATGAGAGTTTAAAATGATTTGAAAGAGGTAATGGAACATGTTTAGAGTTAAACATATTGAACTTTTTCAAAATTTTAACCACATAATCATGTTGATGAAAAAATAACAAATCTTTTTCTTTATTTCTTAGAATATGGATGCCAATGATCTTTTTGGCAGAACCAAGATCCTTCATATCAATTCAGATTTTAGTTTTAGTTTAATATCATCATTTTCAGACTTGTTACAACTAGCAAGTAACATGTCATCAACATAAAGCACCAAATACAAAGAATTTTTTCCTCAATTACCTTTATAGTAGAGGTAAGCACCATAGCTGCTTCTTTGAGAACCATGTTTCAATACAAATGTATCAAACATTTTATACCATTGCCTTGAGGCTTGTTTTAACCCATAAAGTGATTTCTTTAATAAACAAATTACAATTTCAAAATCACCTTCAATAAAACAAATAGGTTGCTTCATATAATGTTTTCATCTAAATCACCATAGAGAAAATCAATTTTATATCTAATTGATCAAGCTCCTATTTAAATTGAACAACA